CAGATCATATGAGCGAGACTAATGTCCCTAGACATTTGATTTACATGATGGGCAGGGCAAAAAAAGGTAACAATTTCTGTTTGCGCAGTGATTCTGTTAGCATGTCTTTAAAAAAAAAAAAAAAACACCAAAAAAACTTTTTAGGCTACTTAAAAAAAAAATTGTTGGTCACCCTTTAGGTTGGGAACTTAGCCAAGCATTAGATAGGTATATGGGGGATGGTGGCAGTGGGGTGAGGGTGAGTGAGGTATGGAGATCAAAAGGGCAGCGTTTAGCTAAGGTCAAAATTCAGAAGGGGGAGAAAGAAGGATGATTAAGTTACACCTAGTGGATTACAATTGAGGTAAAACAAAGTATCTGATTTGTTGAGAAGAAACAAAGTATCTGATTTGTTGATAGTGTAAAATGGATGATCAGTTCTGTAAACCTTCACACAATTCACAATAAAGCGTTAAACAAAACAAAACAAAACAAAGACTTTGAAGTCAGGGCTAATAAAAATTTGAAACTCAAGTGGACATCTTCCCAAATCATTGAAGCTTTGCAACAAGTTTGCGGGAATGCTGCCCCACATAAAACTGTTTTTAAATGGACCATGTTTTTAAGGAAGGTCAGGAAGACATGAAAAATGAACTCAAAGGAGAGAGGCGAGCACAGAAAGTTGTGGCAAATATTTCGATAATTTTATTAGATTGTTTTGATAACTAATGGAGCACTCTTGGCAGATTTTCTTGAAGGCTTATTATGAAGAAGTTTTAACAAAACTGAAAATGGAATTGTTGAGATCAAGGCCAGCAAAGCTATACTGAGGAATTTTTTTTCCTCACACAAAAAAAAGACAATGCATCTGGTCTTTTTTTTTTTTTTTTTTTTTTTTTTTGTAGCAATACTTTTTTTTTTTTAAATTAACTCTCATATTGTTATTTTACATATTGCTAAATTTTATTTAGAATTCAAATATGGGTCACAAATGAGATGAATGTACAATTTTGCTTATTTTTGTTTTACATTGGTCAAAGTACACATTATAGTATGTAATGTACTTGCCAGAGTTTTAATTAATGGTAAACTAGGTGGGCACATTTTGCAAGCCTGACTCCTGGCCATCAATACCCAGTCCCTCCACCTGGTCATTTTTCAATGGTAGTAAGGACTATCCTAGGGGAATTTCCTTGGAAACCTTACTCCATCCACCCTACAGCCCTGACCTTGCCCTTTCTAATTTCTTTTTGTCCCCCAAACTTAAAGAATATTTACTAGAACATATTAAAGAACATACCTAGAGTTGCTTGAGGATGCCAAAACTGTAGTTTGGACATGGTATCAATTGAAATGTGCAGAATTCTTTGGGGGAAGGATTAGAGAGATGGAAACAGGGCCTTCAGAAGTGGATAGGCCTCGATGGTCAAGAAACAGTAGCTTCACGTTTTGATATTTTTATTTAATAAAGGTTTCTAGGATAGGAAAAAGGAGCTCTGGTAGCGTAGTGGTTATGAATCGGGCTGCTAATCTCAAGGTCAGCAGTTTGAAACTACCAGCTGTCCCGCGGGAGAATGATGAGGCGTTCTGCTCCCATAAAGATTTACAGCCTCGGAACCGACTCCACGGCACGTAACAACAAGGATAGGGAAACAATACTTTTAGGCTTACTCTCATATACTCATGGGTGTTTCAAAAAGTGTGTGGGCATTTCCATTATCTTTCAATTTCATTTTTTCATGAACATTTTGAAATCCTCTCATACATATTTTCACCATTAAAAAAAATAAAATCCTAAGGCAGTAAGTGCTGTACTGGAGCCAGCAGCTCATGCTGGCTCATGGGAGGTGACGGTAAAAATCTAGACATTCTGTCAGCCAGCAGCACAGTCACACCTGTAGCTTAAAACCTGAACAACCAGCTGCCACTTTGTTGAGTGTGACTTCTGGTGAGCCCAGGTGTGTCAGAGTAGAACTGCGCTCCAATGGCTGACTTTTCAGAAGTCCATCTCCAGGCAGTTCTTCCAAGGTGCCTCTGGCTGGCCTTGAACCTCTGTCTGACCTTTTGGTTAGCAGCCAAGCTTTTACACTGTCCAGGGACTCCTTAAGTCTGACACAGTGGGAGTATTTACACCATGGAAATTGGCAGAGCTTTTATTCCCCACTCTTCTCTTCTGGGAACTAATTAACCAGCACACCCACTGTGTGGACAGAAGTATTGTGTACACAGAGGAAACTGGTCCTTCTGTAGCAAGCAATGTGCGATGGATTAGGCCCTGTCTGGGGGTTCTCAGAGTCCCCGTTATTTATTTCACAATCGTTGCATTGTGCTTGAGTTAGCCTAACTGTGTTGCATTGTGCTTGAGTTAGCCTAACTGGAGTTGAATTCTGAACCTCACAACTAAAATGGCCTCAAACAGGCCAGAAGTTGCCTCTCCTCCCCTCCCCTCAAGAAGCACAGCCAGGGTCAGTCAGATGGTTTATTGGAAGGCATGGAGACCCCAATTAGAGGAGGCTCCGGGTGTCTGGTATTTTCTCTTCTCTTTCTGGCTGGACGCTCAGGTCAGTCCCCCATGGGTAGCCACAGGGTCTTGGTCCGCGCTGCCCGAATCCGGAGCTCTGGGCTGGCTCCCTCAGCCTCCTGATCCCAGGCCCGTGGGCAGCCCCCATTCACCCACACTGACTTGAGGTTCTCCGCAGAGGCCCACTCCACAAACTGGGAACCCTGGGATGGGGAGAGAGTGGATCAGACCTTCCACTGACTCCATTGCTAAGCAGCTGCTTCCTTAGTAACGAGGACAATTGCTGAAGAGGAACCTTTAGACTTTGTGGCTACAAGGAACAGCTCCTAGCAAGAGAAGCGTCCAGCTACTGAGGGAGACGAGCTTGACCCTTGTGGTTAGGACATTTCCTCCTCCCTAACTGCCCACATTCAGGGGAGTTGTGGTCAACGCTCATAGATGAGGAGTTGATAACAGGAGGTCTGAGGGGAGACTGACTCTGTTGCTACAGTGTGGCCCTTAGCAACTGGCTGTCCAGTGAGAGTGGGTCTTTGGGATGGGAGATTCTCTTTCTTAGCAACCAGGGCCTTCAAGGGTTAGCACCTGGAACCTTGTTGCCAAGGTGCTGCTCCCCTTTAGCAAAAAGAATTCTCAGGGAGCGGAGCCATGTGCCTAATAAAGGAAAAGTTTGCCAGTCAAGTGTAGGAGACTGAAGATGGTAAAACAGAGAGTACCTGGGCAGACCCGAAATACCACAGGGCTTGGACATCATGGTGCAAGGCCAGGCAGCGTGTCAGATGATTATGGTCTCCTGTTACCACGTTCACCAGGCCAGCTGGGAACAGGGTAGCTATAACCTAGAGAGTAAGAGGGGGTGGTCCACGGTTAGGAGAGGACTGGGGAGGGGTTGGGCTTTTGGGCTTGGGAAGACTCCCAGTCTGGAGGGAATAGTTATTGGGCCTATGAGTGAAGGGTTGGGGCTACCCATGGTTGCAGTGAGAACCAAGCTCCTAGCCGACCTAGGGGCATTGCATCTTCTCCTCCCCGCCTGTCTGAATGCCCCAGGGGCTGCTGGGAGAAGCAAACAGGGAGATGATGGTACCTGGCAGGCCTCCAGGGCAGGCAGGGGACAGGTCTCACTGGGCACTATGACCAGGGCATTGCCGTATGCAAGGGCGGTAGACAGCATAGAGACAAAGGCCAGCAGGGGCCACTCGTCCGGACACACGATGGCCAGCACGCCCAGAGGTTCCTGCAGTTGCAGCACTGGGCCTCGCAGCCCTGCAGCCTGAGGACCAGACGGGAGGTCAAGGGAAGATTCAGAACTGCCTCCTTCACCCCTGTTAGCCCCACCCCTGCTTCTCCATAACACCATCGTCAATAAAATACCCAGGAGTGGGTTCAGAACCCAGCTCCACCATCAGCAGTTGTGTGACCAGCATTAACCCCAAAGCTGAGGCATGCGGCATTAACTGTACTGGTGGACCCCGCTCCAGAATAGACTCCGCTGTACTTCAGACTCCGTTTTTGCCTCCCCTAGCCTTACTTGTGCTTTCTACCTGCAGCTAGACTCTTGCAGCTTGAGAAGGACATGGCCGTCTATTTCTGTAAAGATTTACAACCTTGGAAACCCAATGAGGCAGTTCTGCTCTGTCCTACTCTTAGGGTCACCATATGTCAGAGCTGATCTGAAGGCAGTGGGTGGGCTTGGTTTGGTTGGGCTCTTGTGAAACTTGACCTGCTCTTAGTAAATCAAAGTGCGGGTCGCTTTGAGCAAGATTTGGAAAATAGGGTCTTTCGATGGAAACTTGTGAGGTTTTTTGGTAACCTTGTAACCGACTGTCCAAAGCTCTATACATGTCAGCCAATCAGAAAACAGGCGTTATGTGCCGCCATTTCTGTCTTTAAACGATCCTCTGGCTCCAGCTTGCTGGAGTATATGGTAGTTTCCAGGCATGCTGCCCAGGTTCAAGCTGCCATAGTCTTCAGGAAACTTTTCTTCTGTGACATAAATTGTGTTTTTGTCAGAATTGTGGGATTTGAAGGTACAATGCCTGTAATGATTGCTGACGATTCAAGGGCCCAGGCTCTGGTACCAGCGGAGTCATTTTGGATTCTTCACTCCACAGACTCTCGGGGACTTGCTGTTAGGTAGATAACCTTGTAATTCGAGCTGGACTTTCTTTGCATTCTAGCTCTTTGAGATTTATTGGGGTGCTCTTTTGTTCTTACAAGATTGTTTTGAAACACTCTGCCAATTTGTAAGGTCACAGCCATAGCCTGTGGACACAGGACGAGCACTTAAAAGACCTTTAGGGCACCTCTTACCACATAAGAGGCTTCTATGACAGGATACCCTGGTATGGCGCTGTGGGTTAATGCTTCAGACTGCAAAGCCATTTGAACTGCAAGGTCAGCAGTTCAAGCTCACCAGCTGCTCCATGGAAACCCTATATAGGGAGGGTCGCTACGGGTGGGAACCGACTTAATAGCGCTTCACAGCAACATGACAATATAAACAGCTACAGAGGATGATCTAGAAGCATTAGGCTGCCTGCCAGTCACAAGGTAACTCCTTTGTAATCATCACATGTTAGTTGAGGCATTTGCCTTTCAGGTACTGACAACTTTGGCCTTCAGTTCTTTGCTATCCTCTGAAAAATGGGAAATGTCATATCTAGAGGCAATTCATTTTCCCTCTGGTACACCCTACCTACTACATAAACAAACATTTTGGTCCTCATACATCTGTTTTTGTCTATTTGGACAGTCGTGGCTATTTTTAGGTTCTTTTGAATTATTTAGATTAGTTTTGTTTGCATAGTAAAGAAAGGATCCTGAGTTAAACAACCTTATGGAATGTCGATTTTGATTGAGACACCAAAATAGCGAAATTGCCTCCCTGCAGAACACAGTTTCTATGTTAATTAAACACACTAAGGAGCTGCAGTGTCAAATTGATGTCCCACCTGTTCCTGTTTCTCCATCTGCTCTTTTGCCAGC